ATTCAGGAAAATGTTATTCGTCTAGAAGAACGGCCTTTCTTTGTAACAAAACTTAAAAGGGATTTTGAGCTGTGAGAAATAATGCTTATAAGCAGCAAAAAACTATGTAGTTCTCCTTGGCTAGAACATTCCTATTCCTCCTTGAAATTTTAAATCAACACAAAGTAGTTAACCTTGTCAAAACTCTGTGTCTGTTCAGAAAAGTTTTCATGCTAGGATATTCCTACAAATACTTAAGCTTTTTTTCCTGGAAAGAACACACTACTCTGGGGTTTCCTTAATTGCACTTTAAATGTAATTGAAATTTACCTACCTTGCTTGTCCAAATAATCATGAGCTACTTCCATAAAATCTAAACTGCCTTGGATATAAAGAATAGTTACCCAAAGCCCCATCACAGTCATGGCTTACAAACTGGCACTGCTCTGCAAGGGTGGCAGTAAACACAAACACTGGCTCACTACGTTAATACAGGCCCACAGTCTGGTAACTTCTAGACCCAGCCTGATTCTTATCAGGTTATGGCTGAAAAAGTTTAATTAAAACTCAATCCAGTCTAGACTGTGAGTCCTATTCTTCATGCTATTACTGTACAGTTGCATCAAATCCATCAAGATTATATGTGGAAAGGCTAGTAAGGATGCCTGCAACTTGTTTAAGTAACATACCATTTTTAAAACTCATCAAACAAATTACATTTCAAAGTTCTGTAAGATTTGGGAGACTGTCAAGCCAATAATAGGTAGTTTGTGAGCAGAGATATACTCGATGAAAACAGTGTTTATCTTCTAAATACCCATACAAAATCATCAATCTGCATATGAAATTTAGATAAGCCTAATTCAGATAACAGTCAAAAACTATGATAATTTAAGACAGGGGCTGGGGCTAGTTTTACTTTTTATAAAAGACTATGCTACAAGGATCATGTAAATAAAATTAAAGGAAGAATCATGCCTAAAAGTTTCTTCAGTATTTTAAAAGCACCCTCAATAACTCAGAAGTACTTGTAAATATCAGTATGCTAATCATAAATACTTCAGATAATTTTATTTAGTACAATCAACCAGTTCAAATAATTAAACTAAGAAATATACAGTTAAGACTACATTATGTCACTCTAAGACTTGGAAGCAATACATCTGTGTTTATCTTTATTACCTAACCCTCAGATGTTTCGGTGATTCAGACTGTTCTCCCCTAGAGGAAGGTGGCATAGAAAAAGCAGTGATCATCGCTGAATACTTGTATGCCATTAAAGCTTTATGAAGAGCTTTGTGGTCCTGCTTCCTCAGCTGGAAAATGGTTATACCTCACAAGGTTACTGAAGTGTATTAACTAAGTTAATAGATACGGTCTCTGGATCTAAAAATCACTATAAAAATGTATGGAACACTTCCAATACTTCAAATTAGTAATATTTTGCTTACGCCAAGTGCACATGTTTTAATGTGTTTGGTTTTCTGGATGATTTTTGCCATTTATATTCCAGAGGACAGCTGTATTTAAATTTTTTTTTCAAGTATATACCTTTAAAATGCCTCACCAAACAAATACAGAACATTCACACTAGTATAAAATCTCTAAATATATAAAAAGTGAACACTGATACAAATCACACGAAAAAAGCAAAGACAGAACTTTAAAGCTTTCAAAGGTACCTCGGAGGCCTTTTAGACTATTCCTCCCACTTTAGAGGTTACTAACTGAGGTCCAACATAGGTGTGACTTACTAACCAATTGCACATATCCCTCATCCAGAATTTCTAATACAGCCTCTGAGAACTATTATTAAAATAAATTACCTTCCCTATTTAAAAAGTCACAGAGTGACAGAATGAGCAGGTAAAGAAATGCCAGAGTGAAAAGGTGGAGTTCTTTAAAAACAAAACCAGACAAAACTGTGAACATGGTTAGCATTTAGATATTGGGATTTCACAGCCAGTAACAGGATTTAAATTATTAACCAGTGAATAGACAAACATACTGTGTCTGTGGTAGGCACATTCTAAGCTTTTATATTTTATAAATGGAAGGTAGAGTGCTTATATTAACTCAGTATACTGCACATTAATAGAAGCTACAGATAAATTCAAATAGTCAAAAAACCTGTAACAGTTGTCTACGATTATTTCCTCAATTATGTCTCTTCTAATATAAAAAAACAATTTATGTTCCCTGAGTACAAACTGGCTAGAGAATAAGAAAAAGCAAGCCCACAATTATGTAACTGTCATGGGAACCCTATTCACAGAAAATGGAGAATTGTCTGTAAAACATATAGCCAGTTCCCTGACAGAGAAATACTGGTACTTCCGATTAATTTAGGCTCCTAGTATAGACGGCTAATATTAAGGAGTGCAAACACTTGAGGTTACAAAAGTGTGCCAAAAGTTTGTTGATCAAAACAAAAACCCGACTTGAAATAGTTTGCCTACCTCCCTATTCAATCTGTTAACTGTTCCTACGTTAAAGATTCCAGGAATTAGATCTAAGTATGGTGTCCTGTACTTAGAAAATGTTCACTGACTATACACTTTGAAAGTGAGAATCAATGTCATAGACTCACTGCCCACAGAGCCGCAGAGCCATAAGCATTAGTCACTAGTTTCTTAGGCCTTTTTTTTACAAGTAATCTGGTTTAAGGTTTTTCAGCTATCCATTAAACACAACAAAATAAATTTTTCTCCCAAACAATACCACAACCTGATTAAGAAAATCAAGGTGCTATGAAACACATCACGGACATACGAAATTCTGTTTAGTCCAGCATTTGCTCAAAATGAGTATGTCCACAGTTAAAATGAAATTTTTCTGATTCTGAACCATATTCTCTACAACAACTGATAAGAAGAAAAGGTATCTTAATTCTCTTCTTTCCTATGTTAAATTATATAATTACATATATATTATTATATATGTAATATATGTATTACATATATAACTAATTATAGCAACCTGGGACAATAATTTTCCTAAAATAGTATTTTCCAAATTTGCCTTCTCCCATGGGATATTAAGCTTAAAAGTAGTTAAATTAATTTGGGCAAAGCAGGGTTAAAGTTTTCTTTTTTTCACTGAAGCACTTTTCAAAGTCTTTAATGCTCATATCCATTGTCATCCTCAAGCAGGAGTATGGCATATAACATTTTCCAAACTTGCTCAATGGACTCGTTTTTCAGCAGAGCACCTCAGGGATACAGTGTGGGAAATGCTATTATAGAACCATATGGAGTCCATTTCCATGATGTAGCTAAGTCTTTATAACCTAATAATAGAAGCTCTCCTCTAAAATCTTAACTTGAAGAAATTCTTCCCACCCAAGATCTAACAACCACATACCACATCCACAATTAACCAGCTTACAAGACTGAAATGTGGGAATTTAGCAACTGATTCTTTCCCTCTTTCTGCCCATTAGTAACAAAAACCTCCTATGACAATGTTCCAGCCCCTATTATGCTGGACTGAGCCTCCTGAAATCTTCTCTATTTAAAGCAATTTACTATGCCTTCTAGATTCAGAGTAGCTATGCTTTAAAAACATAAGCATCCAAGAACCAAAACTGCAACCCTGGTTCTCCTAAAATTCAACCATCAAAATGTAGATATTCACAAATACTGGCAAGAATGAGAAAACAGTATATAATATTTTTAATTCTCAATAAACATGATAATCACCAATATAAAGTAATTTTTATTCGGCTAACAAAGCTAAAATGCTACTGTATTCCTTCCTTGCTGTTGTTTCTCCACCTTCAAAATTGTTAGGGATTTTGTCATTGGGGATAAGGAATCATCAGATTAATTCCTATTTATAAGGTCAATCATAGTCAAGCAAATATTATGAGGTGGCCCTGTTTTTCCCAAAAGAGGTATTTACACGTTTGGAGAGGTCAAAATTATGCCCTATCTACAATGCACAGCAGGACTGCTTATCCCTATAAAAACAATCACAAAAAGTACCTTTTGGTGCCACTAGATGGCAATCTTTCAAAGGTTTAAACTTAAAACAGTTTAATGCAAACCCACCCTTTTTCCCAAATTGGCAAGTAAAGATTCCTTTTGATATTAAGAAGTCAGACTTAAGTTATTTAACACCATTTTTAAAAAGTTCTATAAACCAATATGATGTGACACACCGCAAACTCCTGACTCAAAACTACTTAAAGACAGATATGCTTATCTTCCATAAACATAAGGGAAACTTGGCCAAAGATTTGCATTTGCTTCTTGGTAGAAAACATTATTTTTGGCAAAGAGAAACCTGTTTTCAAGAGCTTAATCTTTTCTAGGGTAAGTCAGGTGAATGAGAGTGTTAATTACAACATATTAAACATAAATAAATACAAATTAGATAAATTACACATAATTTAAAAATTAAATACTTTCACTAAAGCAATATAAGCAATGAGCTATTATCTACTCTGCTGTATACAGGTTTCTTTTTAATCTTTAAAAAAAAAACCTGCACGAAGCAAAACAAAGAAACTAGTTTTCCTTTAAAAGCACTGGTGTGTGAATACATATCTGTATATATGTAAACAACACATACATTTATTCAAGAGAGATTTTTTTTTTTTTTAAAGGTTTAAGGCTTCCCTATCCTAACAGCCTCAACAGTGAAGGTCACAGCCTAATAAGCTTTGGAAGTACACAAAAGCCCTTACGGCCAAAACAGTGTTTTCAAACTGGATGGCTAGCAACCAAGATATAGAACAAAGAAAGGGAACCAGAAAAGATTTAAAAGCTAAGTCAATCAGCCACCAAGGATCAAACAACAAAGTAAGTGGTGGTGGGAAGGTGAGGGAGAGGGGTGGCTGTGATGACAAACTTGAACTTCAGATGAGGAATTAGCATTGTGGGATGCAGGGGGACATATGCACACACTCCCCACCACCACATACATTAAATCAAAGATAAGAGTTCTCTTTTAAGGGACTGTTGATATTTTGCTTTGTTTCATTTAACTATTTTATCATGCTTGGTAAAATACAAAAATAAATAGAGCCAAAAAGAATTTGAGAAAGGTAGTTCTGAAGGCATATTTTAAAATGTTGTTTTTTAAAAAATGTTAAGTTTATGAAAAACACAAAAATTGTTCCAATTCCAGATGTTCCAATACTGAGTAGAACACTGAAGACTCTTAAGATAAATGTTATTCAAGGAAATCTCGAAATAAAACCTCTAGCTGGTTATAAGCTGTTTTTAATGAACCTGGAAACCAGTTACCTGTTTCAGGACCACAGCCCTTCTATTAAACACTAGGCAGTATTTGCAAAAGCTAAAACTACTAGAACTTGGCTTCTGACATTTTTAGGGCCAGCCTTTAAGGCTTCAACATTTAAATATCATCTTATTAATGGCTGTTTTTTTTGTTTTTTTTTTTTTATCTTGTGCAAGAGAACTGGGTGCATAAACACAGCTTAAAGCCTGCTGAACTGTAGGAAATAAACTGGATTTACCTACATTAAATAGTAAAGCAAAGAGGTGTTGCCAAACCACCCTTTGATGAGATGATTCACCAGTGAAGGTATATTAATCATCTGTAGTGAACTCACAATTTTAAAGTAACAATAATCTTCATCAATGTTCACCAATTAAAGATACTGCCTCTATAAATTTATCATAGGCAAAATAGAATTACAGATGTCTACAGGTAAATAAAATGTCAGATTTTTTTGTTTTCAGTAATTTCAATGGCATTGACTGTCCCCTGGAAATATTCATGACTCTCCATCAGTATTCCAGAGTATATGATATCCATAAGTAAAATAATAATTTCAAGAATCTATCTGATTTTCACAGTGCAATAACAGAAAGACAGAAACTAGAGAAACATCATCAACGGGCTAAAGTAGTGATCAGACTGGCACACATTTCAAAAAAATCCATGGTGTGACTGCCTAGGCGGGGTGGAACTGAAGACAATGTGTTTCCGGTCAAAGAGCCAGTGAGAGAGCCAGAAAGTGAATGGCTCTCCGCAGTTACAGAATCAAAACTTGATCTTGGTCTGTGTAAGCCAGCAGCAGAACAGGAACGCTGAGGTGTTGAAGAACCAGACCTCTGCTCCACCACCTCATCTGAAATGGATGAAAGAAGAGCAGTTTATATGAAAGGTATATTTGCCCAAGTCCTATGAAGATGCTACATTCAGAAAACTGAGTAAACATATCTGAACAAGGGCAACTTCACAGATGTCATGTTTCAGAGTTTTAAGAGCAGGGGTGGCAATACCCCTTTCCTCCCACAATTATAACAGACATCACTCATCAACCACAACACTAACAGTCAAAATGTCACCCCTAAATCCTTCTCAACACAGTATTTGGCGTCAGCCTTGAAATCAAAACTGATATCCCATTTGAAGAAAGCAGATCCCTGAAGGATATCTTCTTGCAGCATATTAACAAAAAATATCATTAAAATAAAAATAAAAGTTACCATTATACAGTGGTTCTGAACCTTCAGCACACACTGCCTGGGAATGGGGCGAGGAAAATCTTGTTAAAAATAAAGATTTCCAGTTTCCCAGGACTCACCTCTAGAAATAAATTCTGACTTGGTAGATCTGGGGGTAGTTCCCAACAATGTGCATTTTAATAAGAACGCTAGATAATTCTGATGATGGTAATTCTGAAGACAGCCCATGGTAGCTCAAGAATAAAATTTAACTGTTGTATTGAAAACAACTTCCCTAACTCTGAACTCAGTTCTCCTCTGGTTCTATCCAGCACCTGACCCCTGGTTTACTGTTTTTATCCCACTTGGGCCTCTGAACTGAACAAGCATATTTGGTTCATGAGAGTTTGACTTCGGCACTCACGAAATACTTAGACACAACCCATACCTCCCTGACTCCTTCGTCTCCTGAATGGCTGGGGCATCAAAATCCAACCTGAATACAAGGAGAGGCTCATTTGGCCAACCAGGATGAGGGAAGTTGATGAATGGAGAAGTTTAGATATTACAATCCTAACAATAATAAAACATGAATGAAGAAATGTGACAAAGAACTTAACATCCGGCAATTTTAAAATTGCCTCCCTGTTATTCCTTATTTTGCTCCACAGCCAACACTTCAAGTGAGTTTTTTATGCCAAGGAGGCACATCTTTTGGAGAGGTGCTGGGTTAGAGAAAGTCCACATCTTCAATCCTTTTCACTTCACTTGCATTTTTAGTTAACTCTAGATTACTTAAGAACCAGTATAGAAGACCTACCCACCATGTCTTTGAGATGATTTTAACATGTCAACTAGTGCCAAGTTTTTGTTTTTTTTTTAAAGATTTTATTTATTTGACAGAGAGAGACACAGCGAGAGAGGGAACACAAGCAGGGGGAGTGGGAGAGGGAGAAGCAGGCCTCCCACAGAGCAGGGAGCCCGAAGCGGGGCTCGATCCCAGGACCCTGGGATCATGACCTGAGCCGAAGGCAGACGCTTAATGACTGAGCCACCCAGGCGCCCCTACTAGTGCCAAGTTTTATCTTCTCAGAGCTCATGCCTGCATAGCTTCCTTACCATCAATGCTTTTAAAGTCCAAAAGATAGCTTCTATTGTCAACCAGGTAAAGTTGTAGGCTCATTTTCACATAATTGCCAGTCACTGGATTTTTTCTTCTTACACGAAGATGGTATGCATTCACTACCTAAAATGTGAAAGCTTTTTTAAGGAAAAATGTTAAAAAAACAAACTACACAATATCTCCTTATGTTATTGCAAAGAATATCAAAAGAAATAATGGACAGAGGTGGGGTAGAGAAGGAATTCCTGAATGATCTTTTTATATTACATGACAGTTTAGTATTCATTTAATCTCCACTAATAGTATTATCTGTGCCGATCAACAGAAATTTAAAGGGAACTCAGAGATTATATACGGTCTAGCCTTCATTCTAGCGATGCCTCTGCTCTCAAATGTCAACAATAATTCTGGTCACCCAGCCTCAATTTGAATACCTTTACCTATTAACATGGAGCAGGAGGAATAAAAGAGAACTAACATGTTAATGGTTTGCATTGGGCAATATAAACAGGTACTGTCACAAAACTTAGGTATCCCAATAATCCTGTGAAGAAGTATTATTTGCCTTTTGAAGAGAAGAAAACTGCAGCTCAGATAAAGATGATTCTGGGTTTTCAAAATATCTATCAAATGAGTTCCAAATTCTTTTCTGTATGAAATTTTAAAGACATCAGTGTCTCTCTTAACTAAATTACTTAAGCAAAGGGGGATCTGGTTTTTAAATGGTTTTAAGGAACTATTATCTTGTTTATTCATTTCATGTACAAATAAAATGGAAATCACAGATGTTTCAGACATGTCAAATGAATATATACAGGGCATGTGCGAACATTTTTAAAAATTCTCCCTTTAAAAATACATTCATGGTCCTCAAGAAAGGAACAAGAGTGAAAGGACATCTGAAATGAGAAAAATGCTCTTCCTCCCACATATACACAAATAGAATTGCAATGAATTTGAGCACTATTTAAAAAAAAAAATTGGGGGCTAAGAGTAAGAAAAATATACATAACCAAGGATTAAAAGCACTAGCCAAATAAAAGAGATTTTCTTAACCTAGAGAAAGGTACTTGTTGATTGAATAAATATGTCCTGATGGTATCATGTGTACTGACCCCTAGCTGTTACAGCTACTGGGAAAAAGAAAAGAGAAAAGTAAAAACATGGCATCTTCAAAGACACATGACTTTTTATTGCTATGATGCAGGTGGAAATAGGTGGACTATTTTCTCAGGTGATTTCAGGTTGAACACTTTCTGTTTCTTGGCCAAGAATGCCGGTCTCTAAATAAAAAAATATTGTAGGTCCTCAGCATCAACAACTCTTCATGCTTTCAGAATTTTGTTTAGTATTGAATGCACTTGGTATATTAATGGAAAAATGGGGTTTATCATTCAGAAGCATCAAGACCACTAAATTTGTATCTAAATCAAAAACAACTTTTTTATTGACCTAAGTACTCAACTCAGTAGATCAGAGCAGCTTACTATACAAAAAAACAAAAAAGCAAACTTTTACAAATGATCTTAATATACTACAATTTCCTACCTTCCATTCAAAATCCAGCTGCTTCATAGCTCGGTAGACTTCAGCCATAATGTCATACGGTTTGCTTTGACTTCTGATTCCAAGATGCCACTTGGCTTTTTTCACAGCTAAAGATTTGGGCTTAGTTGTATTCAGTGCATCCAATGGACATTTCGCTTTAGGGCTGTCTGCTATAAGAGGTGGCATCCTTTCTGGATGAGGTTTCAGGCCTGGGGGAATATGCATGGTACTATCATCCATAAAAGAACCAGTTGGGGGACTAGAGGCGAGGTAGAACTCACTGGCTTGGTTCATTATTCTCCGATTGTCAATGATAAGATGATAAGCCACTGCAAGCTGGTCTTGAGGGTCACCACTATATAAACTGTTCATTACTTCTGATTCTGTACACTCAAATTTTTCACACACTTCTTTCACAGCCTCATCATCAATGACGTTAGCATCATAGGAGGGGTCTTCAGGAAATAAGTAACTGGGCAAATCTTGTTTAAACCATTCATGCTCTCTAGGAAAAATACCACAATACACTATTGTAAGAACATGCTTTGGCAAGTCCCAAATAATTTAGACATGGGGCAATAAAATATAACAGAATCAGAAAGACCTGTTCTCTGTGTGACCCTGGATAAGTTAATTAACCCCCACCCTTGAATAACTATGATTATTCAGACTTGGGTATTTGGCTGACATTTTCTGAAAAATTAGTAAAATGAGCCTGTCACTTCAAAGGAAACAACTGGCAGTATGTTTTTGCCAATGATAAAGTTCAACCTTTCAAGCAAAGTTTTAGAATTTTATATAATTTGTATCTGCCTCCATGAGTTTGACAGCTTCCTACTACTTAAAGATTCTCTAATAACTTTATAATGATAAAAATGAACATGATTTCTAATACTTTATAATGAACATGTCACCAATTGGAAAATCTTTTTAACTCAATAACCCGGTTATTTTCAAAATGACCAATGCATGATGTTACAGAATCATACACGGGTAAAATATCCACAAAACACAAAAAAACCCAATGGATTTTAATGTAATAAAGTACAAAAGTACACCAAGATGTTTTCTCATTTGATACTGTAACTAACAAGTTAAGGTTTGGCTTAATATCAAAGAAGAATATCCACAACTATCTGAAAGACTGTTAAAATGTTCCTCCTTTTCCAATCACTTGAGTGGTGTCAGATTTTCCTCATAGACTGCAACTAATACAACATATTGCAACAGACTGAATGAAGAAGTAGACTAAGAACCTAGCTGCTGTCTCTGAGTAAGGCCAACACTTAAGAGAATTTGAAAATGTAAAATAATACCACTCTTGTTAACATTTTTTGGGTTATTTTTCATAAAAGATATGTTATTTAGATTAACAATGTAGTAGCTTTACTGCTATTTTTAAGTGAATTGTTTTTTTTTAAGTTTCTCAGTTTTAATTTCTTATATGATAAATATTAATATAACCTTCATTAAAAAACACAACTCTTGGGACGCCTGGGTGGCTCAAATGGTTAAACGTCTGCCTTCGGCTCAGGTCATGATCCCAGGGACCTGGGACCGAGCCCCACATCAGGCTCCTGGCTCAGTGGGGAGCCTGCTTCTCCCTCTCCCTCTGCCTCTCCCACTGCTCATGCTCTCTTTATCTCTATGTCTCGAATAAATAAAATCTTTAAAAAAACAAAACCCACAACTATTTGGAATCCTCAATTTTAAGACTGTAAAGGAGTACTAAAACCAAAAAGTTTGACAATCAGTCTCCTAAATCTTATTTTCTCACACTTCTGGGCCTTTGCACATGATGTTACTATTGCCATCCAAGAACTTCCCACCCCTTTTCATCTAACATGTACTATTCCTTCGAGACTGCACAAGCATTGCTACATGGTAGAACCGGGCACCCTCTAAGCTAAATTCAGATCAATATATATTTTGCTTGAATGCTTTCTATTGACTGTCTCACTTATGAATATTAACTAAGGGTATACTGTGGCAAAAAGACACTCCTCCTCACAGAGATTATATCCTAAGCTAAATACAGATAAACAAATATTCACAAAAATAAATATATAGTTTCAAATATACAAATATGAAAATCCTGTGATAAAGATTATAAGAGGAAAACACAGGGTAAAATAAGAATATATAAATCAGAATAACAGCTATGTAGTTAGGGAAGCTACTAAGTAATATTTAAGCAGATATCAGGCTGATTAGAGGTCAGGTGGGAGCAAAGAGCTAGGAAACAGGTATTCCCAGCACAAAAAAAACAATGTATGTGAAGACTGAGACGAGAAAGAGTTGTGCCATATTCCAGGAACGGGACTGAGGCCACTATTCTGAAAGGAGGAGTTACAGGTTGGAGGGGCAAAAGCTATCAAATATTTCTGAGAGCTATAGGCTAGAAGAGAGATTCTGGGACTAGAATCTATGCTTGATGAAAATCACTGAAAGACTTTACAGAGACGGGGGTGACATGATCTAATTTGCATTCCGTAAAGATCATCTTGCTTGTGATATGGAAACTGAAAAGACAAAAATGATGATGTTGATGATACTGGTGAAATAGTCCAAGTGAGAAATTATGGTGTGCCAGGCCCTGAGGAGGATGCAAAGATGAATCTTCTACAGCTTCTAGTAGATCTTTCTATTTTAACACTCACACTTTCTTATAGGTGTTGATTTTTTTCTTAATCTTACCCACCAAACTCAGAGCTCCTTGAAACAGGGACCATGCCTTATTTGGCTGTATTCCACTACCCAATACAATGTAAATGTTCAATAAATGCAGAATAATAAATTAATGTTAGTCTTCATATTTTATGTATTCGTCATTTATTTAATGTGTTTATTTCCTGTATCATACTAAGCACCAAAGGCTTAGTAATAAAAATGTGATATATTAATTTTTTCAACAGAAACAGAAGACATTATATATCTAACATTTTAAAAAATATTAATGACAAATAGGGAAGCTGAGCACTTCTGAATGAACTCCAAAAATTCACTCTTACATAAAAGCATTCAGACTACTAGCAAAAATCACCAAAATCAACTTTTCCAGAACCCTGGAAATTAACCAAAAGCCTGCAACAATCTGAGAAGTATTTACTCAAGAAAACAGCTGATCTCAGTAACAGCAGTGAGATCTGAGACATTTTAAGTTGCCCTATATCCATCTCCCTTTCCCCATTTCTATGGTAGCCTTGAAAACCAACAGTCTCACAAAACCAAGAGTCTCACAATCATGGTAGCCCAGAAAACCAGCGACCTAGCAACCACTAAGGGGGAGACAGGTTTAGAGTTAGAGCAGAATAGGTTCAGAATTCTCCAAAAGTCCTATCCTCAAAGAACTGTCATTATTTGACATGTCTGGAAGTTCCCTGGAAATCTCCATTTGGCAGGCCTTGTCTTTTTCTGACCTGATTCAGAGTTCCCTCACTGCAAATAGCCTTCTACCCAGGACATTTGTCAAAACAACCAATGGCAACAGTGACATCCCAGCTGCCTAAAGAGGCAGTAAGAGTTGGAGCAAACAAGAAGCTAACCAAAAACCTTAAAATGAAAAGTTCAGGAATAGGAGTTCCACTGAGGTCTTTGAAATACTCTTGATATATTCCTGGGACTCAAGAAGGCCATGCACATATGCAGGGCTGTGTGCTTGCCCAAGAAGACTCTCATTTCTAATCACTGGCTGACTTTGAGGCTCTCTGCTAATGCGGAGTGAAGACTAAATCAGAGTTATAAGCTTCTCTTTGGAGCAATGAAGACATACTCCAACATGCACACACAGTCACTCAGCAAAGGCTGGGAGACATATTAGATCAAGGCATTTAAGGAAAGCTCTAATAATAAGATGACCATTAAGCTAACTAATCAGAGATTTCAGTGGCCAACCATGACAAAGAGTACAAAATTTGTGGAATTAGTTTAGTAAAATCACTAACAAAAGGAACAGCAACAAGAATTACAAACTCAAGGCATACACCCAAAAGAAACAGGAACATGTGACCATAAAAAAGTTGTACATGAATGTTCATAGCAACATTATTCTTAAGAGCCCAAAAGTGGAAACAACTCGAATATCCATTAACTGATGGACGGATAAACAAAATGTTGTATATCTGTACAATGGAGTATTTTTAAAGAATAAAGGAATGAAGTACTATACATGCTACACCATGAATGAACCCTGAAAACATTATGCTGTGTGAAAGTAGCCACACTCAAAAGGCTACATGCTATAGGATTCCATTTATATGAAATTTCGAGAATAGGCAAATCCATAAAGGCAGAAAGATTACTGGCTTCCAAGGGATAAAAGGAGGGGGAAATGGGTAATGACTGCTAATGCACATAGAGTTTAAGGGAATTAGAAAATGGTGATGACTGTACAACTTTGTGAATATACTAAGAACCAGTGAATTATACTATTTAAAGGGACAAACTTACAGTATGTGAATTATATCAATAATATAAATAAATGTTTAAGAAATGATAAATAGTGGGGCGCCTGGGTGGCTCAGTCAGTTAAGCGTCTGCCTTTGGCTCAGGTCATGATCCCAGGGACCTGGGATCAAGCCCCACCTCGGGGTCCTGGCTCAGTGGGGAGCCTGCTTCTCCCTCTCCCTCTGCCTGCTGCTCTGCCTGCTTGTGTTATCCCTCTCTCTCTCTCTGTCAAATAAATAAAGAAAATCTTTAAAAATAAAAAAATAAAAAATGATAAATAGGGAAATGATCTAAATTTTTATTTCTAATTCATTCACACAAAGGACCATAATTCTTTACCATAAGAAAATTGCCAATTAAAAAGTCATACTCAGCTTTTGTTTTCAGGAGTCAGTTTCTGAATTAACTCTATCAAGATAAGCAGTAACCAGAATGTTTATGAGGTTCACCTGAATCAAAATCAGTTCACTTCCCACAGGTTACTACACAGCCATCAGAAATTAAGTCTTTCTATCACTATTACCTGATACTCAATTTTGGTACTTAAGACTAAATGACTTAATGAGTTATGGAGACACATGAAAATGAAAACACAATAATCCAACATCTTTCAGATGCAGCAAGAGCAGTTCTAAGAGGGAAATATACAGCAATACAGCCCTACCTCAAGAAATAAGAAAAAGCTCAAATAACCTACACTTGCATGTAAAGGAACTAGAAAAAGAACAAAGTTCAAGGTGAGTTGAAGAAAATAATAAAGATCAGAGCAGAAATAAATGACATAAAAATTTAAAAATAATAGAAAAAAATCAGTAAGGGGCACCTAGCTTGCCTAGTAAGAAGAGCATGTGACTCGATCTTGGGGGTTGTTGAGATCAAGCCTCACAAGGGGTGTAGCGATTACTTAAATAAATTAAAAAAAAAATTCTTAAGTAAAAAATAAAAAAATCAATAAAATCAAGAGCTGGTTCTTTGAAAAGATAAACAAAATTGATAAACCCTTAGCCAGACTGATCAGGAAAAAAAGAGAAAGGACTCAAAATCAGAAACAAAAGAGGAGAGGTATCAACACTAAGAAATACAAAGGACTATAAGAAAATATTACCCAAATCATATGCCAACAAACTAGACAACCTAGAAGAAATGGATCAATTCCTAGAAAGATACAATCTTTCAAAACTAAATCAGGAAGAAATAGAAAATCTAAACAGGCCAAATTAGCATACAAAACTGAATCAATAACCAAAAAATAAAAGCCCAGGATGAGATGGAGTCACAGTTGAATTCTACCAAACATTTCAAGAATAGTTAATACCTATTCTCCTCAAACTATTCCAAAAAATAGATGAGGAAGGAAAGCTTCCAAATACATTCTATAAGGCTAGTATTACTCTGATACCAAAACCAGACAAAGACACCACAAAAACAGAAAACTAGCAGCCAATATCCCTGGATGAATAAAGATGCAAAAATCCTCACAAAATATAAGCAAACCACATTCAACAACACATTAAAAGGATCATTCACCACAATCAAGTGGGATTTATTCAGGGAGATGCAAGGATGGTTCAATATTTGCAAATGAAGCAACATAATATACCACAACAAAACAAAGAATAAAAATCATATGATCCTCCCACAGATGCAGAAAAAGCATCTGACAAAATTCAACATCCATTCATGATAAAACTCTCAACAGAGTGGGTTTAAAGGGAACATATCTCAACATAATAAAAGCCATATATGAAAAACCTGCAGCTAACATCACACTCAATGGTGAAAAACTGAGAGCTTTTCTTTCCCCTAAGATCAGGAACAAGACAAGGACATCCAACCTCACCACTTTTATTCAATATGGTCCTGGAAGTCTTAACTACAGCAATCAGACAAGAAAAAGAAATAAAAGGCATCCATACTGGTAAAGAAGCTGTTAAACCGTCACTATTCGCAGATGACATGACATTATACATAAAAAATCCTAAAGACTCCACCAAAAAACTACTAGAATAAATTCAGTGAAACTGCAGGATACCTAGAAGTCAGTAGCATTTCTATACACTAATAACAAAGTACTAGAAAGAGAAATTAAGAAAACAATTCCATTTACAACTGCACCAGAAATAATAAAATACCTAGGAATAAATTTAACCGAGGAAGTGAAACACTATGCTCATGGACTGGAAGAATTAGTATTGTTAAAATGTCCATACTACCCAAAGCTATCTACAGATTCCATGCAATCCCTATCAAAATACCAACAGCATTTTTCACAGAACTAGAACAAACAATCCTGAAATTTGTATGGAACTATAAAAGACCTCAAATAGCCAAAGCAATCTTGAGAAAGAAAAATAAAGCTGGAAGTATCACAATCCCAGATTTCAAGATATACTATAAAGCTATAATAATTAAAACAGTGGTACTGGCACAAAAATAGACACATAAACAGAATAGAAAGCCCAGAAATAAACCTATGTTTATATGGTCAATTAATCTATGACAAAGGCAAGAATTATACAATGAAGAAAAGATAGTCTCTTCAATAAATGGTGCTGGGAAAACTGGACAGCTATATGTAAAAGAATGAAACTGGACCACTTTTTAACATCATACACAAAAATAAACTCTAAAGACCTAAATATGAGATCTGAAACCATAAAATTCCTAGGAAAAACACAGGCAGTAATATCTCTCATACCAGCCGTAATAACATTTTTCTAAATATGTCTCCTAAGGCAAGGGAACAAAAGCAAAAATAAACTATCAGGACTACATCAAATAAAAAGCTTTTGCACAGTGAAGGAAACCATCAACAAAACAAAAAGACACCCTACTAAATGGGAGAAGATACTTGCAAATTATATATCCAATAAGAGGTTAATGGTCAAAATATATAAAGAATTTACACAACTCAACAAAAAAACAAAACAAAACAAAATTAAAAAACAGGCAGAGGACCTGAATAGACATTTTTCCAAAGAAGACATACAGATTGCTAACAGACACGCGAAAAGATGCTCAACATCTGTAATCAGGGAAATGCAAATCAAAACCACAATAAGATACCATGTTATACCAGTCAGAGTGGCTAAAATAAAAAAGACAAGAAATAATAGTGTTGACAAGGATGCAGAGAAAAAGGAATCCCACACTGCTAGTGGGAATGTAAACTGGTATAGTCCCTGTGAAAAACAGTACGGAAGTTCCTCAAAAAATTTAAAAAAGAAATACCATACGATCCAATAATTCCACTACTGGTTATTTACCCAGAGGAAAACAAAAACATTAATTCAAAAAAAATATACGCACTCCTATGTTTATTGCAGCATTATTTACAATAGCTAAGATATGGAAGCAACCTAAGTGTCTATCAACAGACAAATGGTAAGGGACATGTGGTATACATATACAATGAAGTACTGTGTAGCCTTAAGAAAAGATGAGATTGTGCTATTTGCAACAAAATGAATGGACCTAGAGGGTACTGTGCTAAGTAAAATAAATCTGGGAAAATAAATACCATGTGATTTCACTCATAGGTGGAATCTAAAAAATGATATGAATAAACTAATAAACAAAAAGCAACATCAGACCTATAGAGAACCAATGGCCACTGGGGGGCGGGGGTTGGGAGGATAGGCAAAATGGGTGAAGGGGAGAGGGAGATGCAGGCTTCCAGTTACAGAATGAATAACTCACAGGAAGCATATGTAATGCCAATTAAGTGACTGAGGCGCCTAGCTGGCTAGGTCAGTAGAACATGTGACTCTTGACCTCGGGGTTGTGAGTTCAAGCCCCATGTTGGGTGTAGAACTTACTTATTAAAAAGAAAAGAAAAAAAGAAAAACCAAGTACTGTGAACACAAAAGGTTTTTTTCCTGCTAAGTGCATTTCCATAACTATAGTTGGTACTAACTTACAATTACACACTTATTTTATGCATGAGGCCTGGAGCACTTAAGAAAGGCTGGGAGAACAAAACAGTGTACAAATGCAAAAAGAATCAGCCCCTTCTTGCAGTCTAAGAGATTGGCAGCAATGGCATAAAAAACCATGTCATCGTTTAAACATTCCAGGAGTCACAGGTCTCTAAACAGCCATTCTGGTTTATGAAGATAAGAGGAGAGATTCTGGAAAGATGGCAAAAGAATGTGTTTGTAAATGAATAACTGATGAAATGTTAGGTAAAAACAAAAAAACCTCTAAGAAACATAACCTGATAAGAGTAGAAGGCAATGAATTATTGTGGCTTGTGTGTGCTATATAAAGGTCATATTCACAGTAACACCAGCCACTGCAAGTTCCAAAGTTTCTCACATAACAAGAAATCCTTCACAGTGCTAGCAGCTATTTTTGGATTCAAAATCTTAACAAAACTTTTAATGCTTTATTTCATCAACCATATGTAAAATACATAAAACTCTGTCTGTATTATGTATAAAATTTATTCAAATAGTTTCTCAACATATACTACATTTGTGGGCCATCTAGCATTGTGTGTACTAAGGTGAGCAAGACACTCTCTCTACCCTTATGGAGTTGGAATTTAGGACTGGTGAAACACGCACGAAGTAATAATAGCTACATATGAAATGATAATGAAAAAATAAAACCATAAACCAAATGTGGAAATCACAAAAGTGGAAGCAATTAACATTGCCTAGGGGAATCCGAATTGATTTCACAAAGGAGGTCCTATGAAGGCAGAATTTTAAAGGATGAACAGAAATCTGTCAGGTCAAAAAAGTCAGAAATGGCATCAGAGGCAGTAATATAAATTAGAACATGAAGGCATAAAATATATGTTATATTTGAGGAAGAAGGAAAAGCTGAGTGTAGCTGAAGCACTGGTACCAATGGGTGCGGTGGTGAGTGCAGGAGTGAGACCTCAGGAGTAGGAAATGGAGCCTCATTAGGAAGGGCCTCAGAGGATTTGCTACCTCAAGCAAAAAGTATGGGAAACAACCTGAAATATTTTAAAGATGAGTGACATGATCAGGTTTGTGTAAAAAGGAAAGCAAAATTCCTATACAATAAGTATTACAGAGTCTAACATAAAGCAGGCGCTCAATTAGTGGTACTATTAATACTATAAAATGTACATAACAGTAATGAAAAGAAGAATCACCTTATATCTTTGATGGTCGCTCGTTTCAGGGGGTCAACCTGCAGCATATGCATCAAGAGAGTGGCAACAGAACGATTGAGATATTCTGGGATATAAAAAACACCCCCTCGGATCTTCTTAAATAATGTAGGTACATGCTCATCATCAAATGGGAGGGTGCCACAAAGAAGGGCATACAAAATAACACCACAGCTCCAAATATCAACTTCAGGACCTGCATACAATCTAAGAAAAAAGATGACAACACAAACCTGGAATGCAAGTGCCACTTTTTCTCATCCACATATACCCTGCTTCTATATACACATGGTATAGACTTGGTGTATATTGATTAGGAAGCCTTTATTGAAGTCCATGGCCACACCCCAACACTCAATGCTTGTTCACCATAGAGAATCGGTCTCAGCAATTACTATTCAAGTTTTCCAAGAGAAAGTGGTACTTTTCTTTATTTGTCACAAACTCACTGAACCTACTAATTGACTAATTAAAAAAATATAAAACTTACTATGGTTGATTTTTTTATGGAAACATCAAAGTAAATGGCCATAAACTTGAAAAAATAATACTATAGTGTTTAGGCTAAATCCTTTTACCACAAAACTACAAGAAAAAAAATGCATATAAAATAGAATTTTTATCCCTGACATGCCTATTTTAAAGAGTATTTGAAACATTAAAGTGCCGAACTAGTCCTGCAGGATCTCTTTGACACTATTTGTCCTATATCACATTATCCTGAGTGTGACTTTCATTCTAATCACTTGTTAGGTTAGCTCATGGGACTAAGATTAGCTTTGCTCCACATAACCTACGCCTGGAATATTATTCCTTTTTTCTCTGACCTTTCTGCAGTATTAAAATGCCTCTGATACCCCACTGACAAACTCAAACCTGGGTCTGAGGTAACAAAGTAAATCTTTACAATTCCAATTAAAAGAATACAATCTATTTCAAAAAATTGCTGTCCATCATTTATATCATTTGCTGTACTTGTCCAAAACTCCTATACCTGGCTCCTTGCAATAATACCTTTTCTTTATTTTCTCTTGGAGAATTCTGTTAACTTTTTAAATCAGACATTGGTCACTGTAAAAAAAAATCTTTGGTTTACCACTGCAATCTGTATAAACATTTTTTGAATATACCAATGAGTAAGTTCCAACCTCTACTTATACAGTTTAATTTCATGAGATGACAATACTGTCCCTGAAAAACCTCATTCTTCTAAAGACAAAACATAAAATAATAATAACTTATAAAATAATATGTAAATTATTATTTAAGGACTATGTCTGGTAAGAAAATAACGACACTAGCTTGAATTTAACAAATGCTTTCTCTTATCTGTACTTTTCCAAAATGAAGAAAATCAAGATTTGTTTCAGTCATTTTTTTAATGGAAGAACTCCTTAAATATACTCATAACAAAATCTAAACCAAATGTTTAAAAAAATTGTTTCATATACCTATTCTCTCTTCAATAATGGAAAAATTAAAGGGACAATTTGTTCCTATTATGTTAACAATCTCATCCTCTGAACAGAATATATTTTAATTAAATGTTATTAAAATGAACAAGAGATTATAAAGAGCTTACTCTCTACTGATCTATTATTACCTGCCTGAGATGACTTCAGGTGCTGCATAATTTGGAGATCCACAACTAGTTCTCAGAAATTCACCATCTGACATCATATTAGACAATCCTGAAAATAAGAGTAATATTTACTTTGTGCTAGATATTTTTAAAAGTAGATAAATACATGAAGAAAAATGTCAAGTCTTCAATGTTCTATATATCATATTTTGTAATTATTTTAAAACAGTGGAAAGCACTTGAGAAACTAGAAGACCATTTTAAAGTGCTTACACTCTAACAAAAAAGATAAAGCACATCATGTATGATAGGAATTAAATTCCTTCACTTGGGGCGCCTGGGTGGCTGTTGGTTGAGCATCCTGACTCTTGGTTTCGGCTCAGGTCATGATCTCAAGGTCCTGGGATCAAGCCCCGTGTTGGGCTCCATGTTCAGCGTGGAGTCTGCTTGGGATTCTCTCTCCCCACCCTTCCCTGCCCTTCCCCCACCCCCATGCTCTAAAATAAATAAATCTTTTTTGAAAATGTTGATTCACTTCACAAATACGAGGTTATTCCAAATTGTATGAACTTTTCCAAACATAAAAGCATCAAAATATTATTTACCCATTTCTACAGTTGAAAGAATGAAATAGAGACCATTACTTTTTATCCTGTGCTTTCAAAGCCTTTTAAAAAAATCTCTAAGTAGAAATCAGGCTCCAATTTATAAAGATTATGTTCCAAATGCTTTTAATTTGGAAAGCTTTAATTCAACATAGAAAAAATAATCTATGGAACCAAAAATCTAGTTGAACTATCATACTAAGGAGTTTTGCAATTTAGAGAAGGAAGAGAAATAGGGAAACTAGTTTCCTAGCTTGTAGATTAAAGACAAGGTACAGGCAAAAATTTTAAATAAGCAACACTGAACTCTGGCACATTTCCATCTCTCTTTCTATAACCTCTCACTTCCTAATCCTTTTGCCAAACACCCTACTATGGTACTCTTTCCAGGTATGTTTACCCCGGAAAGTGTCTGGTGCATTTAGGTTTACATTTTTTTTGTTTCTTTGTTTTACTCCTGACAAAAACTCCTATTCTTTTTAGCACGTGGTTAGATTTTACCCTGAAATCCACCCTTGATCAAATCAGAAAGACCGTAAGTCTTCAAAACTGCATGCAATTTTCATGTATTTGTCTTTAAGCGCATTCATCAAGGGAAGTGCCCATATTTTCATTTAGATTTTCAAAGGAGTTTGTGACCCCCACCAAAAAAAAAAAAAAAAAAAAAGACGGTTAAGTTTTCCTTCAGGAAGAAATGCAGATTAAATGGATTTACCTTGAAACTGGCCCTCTAAACTTCTCTAGAAGCATGTGCATTTTTAAAATTGTGTTTAAATGAATAGGACAAGCATTAATCCCTTTTTTTCAAGGTACAAGATTTATAAAGTTGAAACTGCAAGTTCATATTTCTTTAACAGTTGCTACTGACACACTTTAAAAGGCAACTAGTACATTTCTGAACAACCTTGGAGTTACATACCAAAATCAGCTATCTTGGCATTCATGTGAGCATCCAACAGCACATTCTCTGGTTTCAGGTCTCGATGAACCACCATATGCCTATGACAGTAATCCACAGCTGATAGAATCTGCTGAAAGAGCCGCCTTGCTTCCACCTCTTCAACCTAGCAAGTATAAAAGAAGCTGCACTAAGAATATTTGGGACATGTACATAGCAAGAGTTTTAGTTTCATAATCAGCCTAAATGTAACTGAGCAAGCTAATTAGAATCAGGCTAGAATTCTCAACAAATCAGACAAACAAACCAAAAACTTTCATTAGAGTTCAACATGTAAGTTAACAAGGCTCTTCTTTGCTGCTAGGTAGTAAGATTTAATTTTCAATTAATATTACTAAATGTGCACAATGTTTTAGGCAATCAACAAGTAAAACATAATGTAAAACAGAATTAATGTGAAAGTGCTAAGAAAAGGAAATCCTTGAAGCTTCAACATAATGTTATGGAACAGATTTTTCACTCTGAAAAGCACTGACATTATGTTGGCAATTAAGTGGAACATGTTCCCTAAAATCAGTATTTTGAAAGGTTTTTTTTTTTTTAAGATTTTATTTATTTATCTGAGAGACAGAGCAAGAGAGTAGGAGCAGGGGGAGGGGAAAAGCAGTTTCCCCTCTGAGCAGGGAACCCAACACAGGGCTCCATCCCAGGACCCTGGGATCAGGACCTGAGCCGAAGGCAGACGCTTAACCGAATGAGGCACCCAGGTGCCCCAAAAGGTGTATTTTTTTTAAAGATTTTATTTTTAAACAATCTCTACACCCAATGTGGGGCTCGAACTTACAACCACAAGATCAAGAGTCGCATGCTCCACCGACTGAGACTACCAGGTGCCCCTCGAAACGTGTATTTTTTAAGAAAGAAAAGATGTCTAATATTCTGTATCTTTAATTGGGCTTTATTACAGAAGCAACCCAGACTTTGAAGATATCTTTGTGGTTTGCTATTGCCTACTATCCTCTTTTTTAGCTTAGGGGCTTATTGTACTAGATAGTAAGTTACTCACCCGGCCATGTTTACAGATGTAGTCAAATAATTCACCACCAGACACATATTCCATTACCATAAAAAAATCTGTTGGAGTGCTGATCACCTGGTATCTTTTTTGTAAATGAAAAATAAAAAATGTTAGTTTTTAAAAAAATCAAGCTAGTCTATTATTGCTACAATTTTATATTCCAATGTTTTATAATATTTTAAGATGGCAACAAATTATGTTATCAAAACAATCACAGAGCTATAAACACAGCTTTAAAAAATTCTCTGCTTTCTGAGGCTTATGGACTTTTCTTCAGATCCTCCCTTTCATGTTTACAAAATCTTTGGAATCCTTCATTCTTCAATAACTAAGCATTCATTTCTCCATTTAAACAAAAAATTTTTTTATAGTCTATAGAGATCAGGTATCATATTTAAACATAAGTTAAAAATATTCTTGTTAAGCCTAAATGATACCACAAGAGATTTAATCAGCAAAATGCAGAAAGTGGTCAAATGACCCTTTCTTCAACAAATAAAATGTGAGAAAAGGGGAAAGGGAAGCTATAGACTAATAGTAAATCAAGAGACAAATTGACCTATTATACTACAGAGACTTGTTTTGATTTTTTTTAAAGATTTATTTTAGAGAAAGAGAGCATGCATGCACACCCAGGGGGACGGGCAAAAGGAGACTGAGTGAAAGAATCTCCAGCAGACGCCACCCTGAGTGAAAGCCCAGCACTGAGCTGGATTCCAGGACCCCGAGATCATGACCTGAGCGGAAACCAAGAGTTGGATGCTTAACGACCGAGCCACCCAGGCGCCCCAAGACTTATTTTGATTCTGACTCCAACAAACCAATTTTAAACCACTTATGAAACAAAGTCTGAATACTGACTGGATGGTTGATATTATAATTTTTTTAGGTGTGATAATGAACTGTGCTTGTATTACTAAAAGAGTCTATGTTTCAGAGTAGATACTGACAAGTTTGCAGAATAAAATCATAATATTTGGGACTTGCTTCAAAATAATTTGTGATGGAAAAAGTGGGAAGAAGCAGGTAAAATGATAAACTGGCAACTGCTGAAGCCAAATGACAGATACTTGAGGCTTCATCACTTTGCTTTCCTATACATTAAAAACATTCCATAGTGGGGCATCTGGGTGGCACAGTTAAGCAACCAACTCTTGGTTTCAGCTCAGGTCATGATCTCAGGGTCCTGAGATCAAGCCCCGCATCAGGCTCCAAGCTCAGCACAGAGTCTGCTTAAGCCTTTCTCTCTCTCCCTCTCCCTCGCCCTTTGCCCCCCCCACCATGCTCTCTTTCTCTCTCTCAAATTAATAAATAAATCTTTTTTAAAAAGTTCCATAGTAAAAAGTTAAGTAGACAGACAGATGAATGTATTTTTTTTTTTAATTTACTTCTAGGCACTCAAAGCTGAGAACCTTAAAAAGTAAAAATCTAAGCTGTATTTGAAAAAAATTTTCTTAAAAGACAACTTCCCCCCATATATCCAATTTTACCAAAGTTCTGAAAACAAGTTAAATACAATTATTGTTTTAACTGAAGGTTACATTTAACACACATAAATGAACAACTGATTGACTTGTTAAAATAGTTTGCCTTGTTTATAAAGGATTATCTATAATCTGGTTGCTTATAAGCAATATCTAACTTATACTGAGTTACTATTTAGGAACACTAAGTATAGCTGTGCAGTTTCTGCATGGCTTACAGGCGCCCAGTGAAGGCACAAGCAGGAGCTGAAAAGTGGCCCTGATGGCACCCTTTAGAAGGTATCAGAAGCAGGGGACCTTTCTGGTAAATTAGTCCACCCAGATGGGGTACTTTTTATTAATGTGCACAATAGCAACTATGGGCTACATGGTGGTTCTGGCTACTATTAAAGAGGAAAGAAAAAATGGCCAGGTCATTGGTGATGTAACTACATACCGTATATTTTAAGTAAAAACAAATCACATATAAACACTTGAAAGAAGTAAAATATTAAAGCTATAGTATGAAAATGATTATAGAGTTTCAGAAGAAATATTTCTAATAGCAATCTTTAGTCTTTGGGATGAAAAATGACAAGGAACTCACTTTATATAAAATAAACTAATATAACTGAGGAATAAGGTTGAAATTACTTCAAATGAACTATGAAAAGGGAATTTTACCTGAGAATTCCTGAAGAAATGGTTCTATAAAAGCAATCTTACCAGGCACAAAACTCTAATTGAAAAAAATGAATAGTGTGAAGCAGGAGCACCTATTCACCTCACTGCAGGCTAATCTGATTTATTAACAGAATTCTCCATCATTTTTCTGCTCTGCTACATCTTTGGGGCATATGAGAAAAAAAGTGATGAAATTTTAATATATTTAGCTGCTGATTCTTCCAAGTATATCACAGGTCTTCAGTGGATACTGTTGGATTGAACTACTTCATGAAACCTCTAACTCCAAAGCAGCCACTGTCCATATCAAAGGCCAATCTAGATCAGTGAAAACCACAACCAACATTATGAGTACTTACCATGTGCCAGACACTGAGCTATTAAATAGTGACATTTACTATTTATTGAAAACCTACTTGTATTGCACTTGATGAGATCGACATCTCCTCCTTCTACTTGCGGAGCCTACGGTCTATTCAGGAACACACATATTAGACAAGTATTCTTTTCAAAATATGAATCTTTTCTTCAGGAGTCTCCTAATAAAAAATCTTCAGGGGGTTCCCATTGCTCTTAGGTCCTGAGTGAATCAGGCCCCGTCTGAGTCTGTACTATCTCCTCTTTGATTCCCACCACTGCAGTGCACTATTTCTTTCTTTTATTAGTTGTACTGCACTTCCTTCTGCCATGGCATCTTTGTATAAGCAGTTTCTGCTAACCTGAATCCCGTACCTGACCTGTACTCTGCCCTTTAACAGTCTACCAGTCATCCTTTCTAGCTCCGCTTAAAGGTCAGCCCTTTTTGCTTTCACAGAAGCACTCCCTCAGCTTGAGACCATGTGCCTCAGTTTGTGTTTATACAGTTAGTGTGCACCTAGCAAAGTATCTATAATGAAGTAGGCGTTTAAGTAAATATATAAAGTAGCACTTTTAAATAATGTGAGCAGCTCAGAGCCAAAACCAGAATAATCTGAAACAGAAACTATAGCAACATTACAACAAAAATTCAATGAATAAAATGAAGCTGAGACAAAAGGAAACATGATTTTTAAAAGAAAGAAATCCTAAGAAAACAGCTTCATATTGGGACTTAGGGAAAAAGGCCAATTCCAGGATTATGTTCTTATAACCAGCCAAGTAAGCCAAATTTTTGCACACTCCAAAATAATCACATTGAAGCATTATAAGAAATTCAATCATGAGGGGGCGGAGCAAGATGGCAGAGGAGTAGGAGACCTGGATTTCGTCTGGTCTCAGGAATTCAGCTGGATAGGGATCAAACCATTCTGAACACCTACAAACTCAACAGGAGATCGAAGAAAAGAATAGCAACAACTCCCTAACAGAAAAGCGACCACTTTCCGGAAGGTAGGACGTGCAGAAAAGTGAACCCGAGGCAATATTCAGGAGGAGAGACGGCAGGGGAGGGGGTCTCTGTCGGCCGCTTCTGGCAAGTAATAGAGCAGCGGAGCACAAAATCGGAACTTTTAGAAGTCTGCTCTGCTGAGGGACGTTGCTCCCGTGGCTAAGCGGGGGGTGGAACCATCGTGGGACAGTGTGGTCTCAGGACCCTCGGGGTCACAGGAAGACCGGGGGTGCCTGAGTGCAGCAGAGCTCCCAGGTATTGGAGCAGGGAAGCCGGCTGCAGAGACAGAGCCCAGGCGCGGGCTCTCAGCTCAGGGTTGCCATAAAATGTGATCCACGGCCCAGTTGGGCCACTGCTCCTCCAGCAGGGACCCAACAAGCAGCAGATCCGGGGAGATTCCCCTTCCCCGGGGAGGAGCAGTGCGGGAGCGCACCGCAGGGACCTGCTGGGTTTGAAGACTCCACATGGATGGGGTGCCAGAGATAGAAACGCTTGGTCACAGGCCGGGGAGACGGGAGTGATTGACTGCTTTTCTCAGGGGGCGCACTAAGGAGCAGGGCCCTGAGTTCTCGGCTCCTCCAGGGGTGGAGATTGGGAGGCCGCCATTTTCACTCTCGTCCTCCAAAGATGTACCGAAAGCTTGCAGGGAACAAAAGCTCCCGAGAGCAAACCCGAGCAGATTACTTAGCCCAGACCAGCAAGGGCAGGGAAATTCCACCTCCAGCAAAGACATTTGGGAACCGTGGCAACAGGCCCCTCCCCCAGAAGATCAGCAAGAACAGGCAGCCAAGACCAAGTTTATCGATCAATGAGAACGGCAGAACTCCAGAGCTAGGGGAATACTGCACCTAGAATCCATGGCTTTTTACCATGATTCTTTAGTCTTTCAAAGTTAATTTTTTTTTAATTTTTCTTTTTCCCTTTTTCAATCAACAGCTTATCAATCCCTTTTTTAAAAAACATTTTTGTTTTTCATTTTTAGAGTCATATTCTATCCCTTCTTAGTAGTTACCCTTATTGTTGGCATATATATATAAGTTGTTCTCTCTTTAAAATTTTGAGATACAGTTCCTTCTAACAGATCAAAATATACCCTAAATCTCTATTGTATGACTTTGTTCTAGTCTCCTGCCTGATCACATTCTCTCCTTTTTTTTTTAAATCCTCTTCTCTCCTTTTTCAAACAACTTATCAATTTTTATAAAATTTTTTATAATTTTCATCTTTACAGTCATATTCCATCCCTTCATTGTATCAACCCTTATTTTTGTACATATATAAATTTTTCTTTCCTTAAAATTTTGGGATGCACTTTCTTCTAAGAGGCCAAAATACACCCAAAATCTAGAGTGTGGCACTGATCTATGCACCAGCCTGATCATATGTGATCATATTCTGTTTTTTTGTTTTAACTTTTTCTTTTCTTTTTTTCTTTTTCCTTTCTTTCCCTTTCTTTTCCCCTGGTTTCAGGTCTTTTCTGATTTGTTTAGAGTATATTTTCTGGGGACGTTGTTACCCTGTTAGCATTTTGTTCTCTCATTCATCTATTCTCCTCTGGACAAAATGACA